TCCCGTCGCGCCGGGGCTGCCATCCGCCGCGGGCCGGGGGCTCCGAAGCTGCCGCCGTATCCCCTCCCCGCCCGGCTACCGGGGCTCCGTGCCCGGGGATGCCGCGGGAGGCCGAGAGCCCCGCTCGGGGGGGCCGCCGCGGCCGCCGCCCCAGGTAAGCGCCGGTGCGGGGCGGAGGGGAGGGGAGGGTGTGTGTGCGGGGGGAGCCCAACTTCTCCGTCCCTCGCCGCGCCGCAAACTTTGCCGCCGCTCGGCGGGGCTGCGGCTCGCCCCTCCCCCCGGGGGGGAAAGGGGGGGGGGGGCGGGGCCCGCCCCGGCCCCCCCCCCCCGCGGCAGCCGGAGAGGCTGAGGGTGGGTTGTTGTTGTGGCAAGTTTCTCCTCCTCTGACAGAAATGGCGTCAATAGCAGCGAGTGTAGGGGAAGCCGCGGTGTGTGGGAGCCGGAGGGGAAGCGGTGGCCGAGGAAAGAGGGGAGGGGGTTAACCGGGGAGAAAGGGGGGATCCGGGGAAGGAAAAGGGGAGTTTCGTGAGGAGCCCGGCGCCCCCACCCCGATCCCTGCCTCCCCTCCCCCCGCCCGGTGCGAGCGGCTGGTGCGGTGCCTTAGCGCTTTGTTTTAAATTCCAGGTCCAGCCTCGGCCGCTCAGCCCCTATCGAGGCTTTTACCGCAGCCTGAGCTCATCATGAAGGTAAAACGCTCGCTTGTGTGGCTGGGAGGGGAAAAGAAGGGAGGGTTGCATGAAGAAACGCTGTCCTGTCTGTCGGTCCGTCTGTCCCGACCCCGGTGCGGGGCTCGGTGCTGGTGCAGATCCAGACTGCGGGCTGCTTCGCCCCCGCCGCTGTGTGTCGGTGCCTTAGCTGGCTGCTGGCCGTGGGGCAGCCTTTGCTCCGCCGCGTTATGCCGAGGGAAACTGTAAGTTCGCTGAGCGGGGGCTGTTCTCCTTCAGAAACATTGTTTGTAGGAGAATAAGGACATGGCTGCCTGGGCTGAGCTTGCTTCATGGAGGAGCAGGGGACAGTCACCCTGCTTGAGAAAGTAATGTTGCAGGGGGTATGCTGGCTATGCAACCGTGTTTACTTCAATAGGGGTTACACGGCAGATATACTTACTTTCTATTTGTTATTAGGAGTTTTGTTGAATGAATAATCTTGATGTGATCAGGGAGGGTGCATGTAGGAGATTCTCTGCAGTGAAGTGATGGCTGTAAGGTGCAGAAAGATTTTCAAACAGGTTCTCATTTTCTTCTCGGTGCTATGTAGTATTCACATACCTCATTGTTGCTTGTTTTCCTTCTTTTGGACCTTTCTAGGCTATTTATTTTCAATATATTATGCAAGTTTTGTAGAAAAAAAGTCACATCGGTGTGTGGCAAAGATTTGTGTATCTAAAAGTAGTTTTTGACAACCGAGCTTGCTATTTTTTTAATCATTTTGCTGATGATGTCTTGTTCAAACTGCCGTTGATGTTACCATGACCCCCGTGTAATTTAGTTCCCAGTCCTGCTGGGTTGCAGTAAATCTCACTTCAAAATACTGTAAATCTTACAAAAATAATTGTTAGAAACCTATGATAATATCATGTCTTTGATATTCATGAATCAAAAAGAGAAGTCTGTGTGTGGGGTGTTGCACGATCAGAGTTGTGCCTACTGTCTGTGAATGAGTATTATGTAAAATGTGTACTTAGTGCTGTATTCACTGCTGGAAATGGTAAATGATACGGACTGTGTTAGTTTCTAGATTGATCTGAGTTGCTGAGCAGCAAACAGTCTTTCTGTATAGCTGTTAAAGGTTTATCGTGTTTTTTTTACTTTGGTGACTTAACGACAGTATCTGTTAAAAAATCATGTTTTAATTGCTCTCCCTATGTTCTTTCTTTAACAAGTGTAAGATTTATAATACTACACGTCTTTCTCATTAAAAGTAAACTATTTATGAATTTATAACAACAGGCTGATGAAGTAGCATGATATGGAGCTTTCCAAATGTGGCTTACTGCCTGGTGGGGATTCAGGAGATGGAAGCAAGAGAAATAGGAGGCAGTATAGGGAGCTGTTTTCCCCCAGAAGGAAAAACACTTATTTAAATGACAGCTAAATTTACATACATTTCTAATATTCTTTTTCCATGTAAACAAATCTTACTGTTACCATAGAGATTAGGTTCAGATACTGTGGTTACAGAGCCATATAAATATGTAGATAGACAGTTGGGAGGATGAGGAGGTCGGATCACAAGTGGAATGCAAAGTGATCTGTGAAATAGTGATAGAGACCCAATTCAGGCTGAATTGAACATATAGCAAATGTCTAAATTTAACATAGCAGACACAGAAACTTGTTAATAGAGCCATATTAAAGAAATAAAAGCTTCCAACTTATTCTTCAATAAGATTTGTGCTACTATTGCATTTTTATTTATTTTTTAAATCTGGATTAATTCTGCCAGGGTTTCACATACTAAGTTTAAGTCTGCAATTTTTGCAATTTGTGTGTGTGTAGTGTAAACTTACATATGCTTGAGATAACTCCCAGTACTTTATTTACTGTGCCCTGTCATATTAAGTGAGGTTAATCTGTAAGTCATTACATTGAAGCTTCAATTATTACAGGGAAGCTTTTAACAGAATTGTAGCTCAACAGAAATTTCTAAGATTCAACAGTCTAACCAAGACTGTTTTTTTAAGATTTTAGGAGTAATGCAGTGCATCAGTCTTTCCACCTGGCTTAAGTTTGTAATTTGTTCTCTTAAGTTCACAAGGATACAAGTTAGTCCAAGAAGCAGCAGTAAGGGGGAGTGCGTAAGAAAAATATTAGCTTTCTGTTTGTATCACCACAAGGTAACATTGACTATAGTAGATCGAGATACTGTTTAAATATGACTGTATTTGTGTGCATTTATTTGTAAGTTATTGAGACTATGCCTCAAGGACACTTTAGCATGTAGAGGATTTAATGCTTTAAGGCCTAGTCTTACTTTAAGTCTGCCGACTGCAGACTTGCTGCTGACTGCACGATTGAGGCCTCTGTTTTGATTTATGCCTTGGTCGTTCTTTCAGGTGCAGAGAGTCGTGTGTTCTGGTGCGTAGAGTTTTTAGAACTGGACTTCTTGTTGATATCTTTGTCTCTTTGGGTGAACTTGAACAACTCATTTAGTTTTACTCATTTTTCCCATCTTTGTAGTACGGGTAGAATGTTTATCATTCTTAGTAAAACACAGTGAGGTCTATTTAGGTAGAGAGCCAAGTCGTATTGATAGAAAGCTGTAAGTCACTCTTGTTCTTGCATTTTGGAACCCTCTGAGACAAGAGAGGTGTCCTGCCTGCTAAGAGATTACCACCT